TACTTCGCAAATGAGGCGATACGAGCATCAGGGTCGGTAGGATATTTGTGGGCGAGCGGGCGCGGGTGGGCGTCCGGGTCGGTAGGTTGCAGCTTGATACGGCCCTTGCTAGGAGTTCCTTCCTCGAAGAAGGCACCACACAGCGCCTGCTCAGGGGCCGAAATCTGTTCTACTGGGCGTATTGACCTACAAATCTTAGGGTATTTATCGTGCCAATACCTTTAAGCGTGAAGAGCTGATGCCAAAATCGATCACTCTTGTCAGCTTGGCCTCCACTTTTAACATCTCAAAATTTAATAGAAAGCTTGGCACCACAGAAAAAGAATTTCTCTATCGCGCAGTTCAACGAGTGTCAGAAAAACATTTAATGTTCTATGCAAAGTTTTCTATTACTTCATTTAGAGAGAATTACCTTCACTTATGGGGCCATCCACCAGATCCCTTGACTCCATAACTGCTAACATTCCAGTTTAAAAGTTTTCAGTGCACCTGGCATGCTTGTCACCTGGCACCCATAGGTTATCGGCAGTGACACAAGTGTTGGTTCTTGTCACAGAAATAAATTTGGTGCGCTATTGTAAAGCGATGGTTCATCATCTCTTACCTAAGAGAACTTCAAGAGAATGCAGATGTTTGAGCAGCGCGCTTGATGATCCTCCCTCCCATCTCCCAGCTCAAATCATTGGGAGCTTCGTTTTGTGTAGTGACTTGGAGTCCTCATGATGATCCAGTCGATGTTCAGGCGGCTGCTGTCAACTGTTGCTGCCGGAAAGAAAGACGAGGGCGAGCGCTCCGAGAAACACACTCGTCATTCCGCAGACTACGGCAGCAGGCATGCGTGCCACACTTCTCTTATTTCTGGTTACCGGGTGAGTGAAAACAGTAAAAGATTTGTGATGATTGGTTAGACATGTAAGAAAGCACACTAATTGTATTGCTGACTGTGAGAAGAGTTATACCTTCTTCTCTTCCTCTGTCTACCAACCTCAGTGTCCCTTGAGAATTTTCGTTTTTTTATTGTTGCAGGTCTTCATAAGGTCATTGTGTCTGTTCGGTCATTCTGTTTCTTGTTTTGACTTACCGCTTTGAATTTATTGAAAACTTTCAGGGTCAGTTCATTCCTTACACCTCCTTATTGCTTCTGTTCACAGAGTGCAGCATCGTTGTGGGAAACACATGGGGGGGGGGAGGGAGAGTCCTATTTGGCTGTTTTGGTTGTTGGGGGAAGGGGGAGTGGTTCGTGGCTTTGAGAGGAATTAGCCGCGTTGAGAAAAATTTTTTTTCTGTTGTTGACTTTTCGCGTGATTTTTTGTTTTATGCGTATTACTCACCTCCTCCTTCCCGCTCGACCGAAAAATCTTTGGGTGAAAGACTGGAAAATGTGGGAACTTGGTAGGTGGGTGGTTGGGGAAGGGAGGGGGGGGGTCGTATCGAGACCCTCTTTTAGGGAGTACCTTTTAGGGAGAGAGGAGGGCGGCGTACCGACACCACCATTTTAGACATAACGATGGTGTGCCCTGTTGCTCATACAAGCGCTCTCAGAGACAGTCTGCCATCAGTTCGTGGGCGTCCTTCCTCTTTCAAGTCCGCAGTTTCCAAGATTTGACTCTTAAGGAAGGCAGTGGGCCCTCCAAGTGGCAGTTCTACCGTCTCTTAATTGTCCGCTCAACTAAAACCCAAATTCTAGTTTCCTGTCGAAGAGTCGTTTCTACAACCGCGTTTTCCTTTTTCGTGTTGGGCGATATCAGCACTCGGATGATTGCGAAGGAGGATAAGTGAAGCTAAGAGGGGCAGAATTATCGTTTGGCTGGCATGAAACGAGCAGATCGGCGGAGCAACTCATGCAGTAATCATACAGTAACGAAACTCATACGCGCAATAGGTTCCTTACTAAAGTTGTTTCCGCGACAGATTTTTTTTGGTTTTTTGCTTCCGCGAGAGTCATGTTAGCGACTGTAGATTCAGTGTGTAATGAACTCCATATTGTCGTACATATCTAAAGTTGAAGTCTAAAAGGTGGAGTCCCAAACATGGTTCGATGTCTTTTCCACTGGGCTAGCCCTCTTACTTTCATTTGTAATCGCAGGATGGCATTAACAGCACGTGATCAGTCCTCATCATTGCGGACCGGTGGGGCGTGGCAGTGCGGCTGCATTTGGTGCGGTTTGGCAAAGTCGTTCTGCACCAGTTTTTGAAGCGAACAAGTGCATTACTGTATAATATCCTTCGTATTACTCGTTTTCTACCACTTTTTGTCGCATACGCGTTGCAACAAAAAGGCTGAGAACGGCTTCAACAGTGTGCGCACTCCTTCTGGCTGACACGCCCCACCGGTCCGCAATGATGAGGACTGTATGTGACCCAATGACTACTGTCAATTAATATGCCAACGTTTCCCCCTCTTAGACGAATATGGTACCAGTTTATCAATTCCAGAGGGATGGAGTGTTTAGTTAACCCGGGACAGCAGCTGATCTGTGATTTAACTATCCAGGAAGACCGTTAATGAGGTGCCGGTGCCATCACAACGCTCTACTGTGAAATCAAGGACTCCACATATGCCATAAAAAGTGATATATGTTGACAGAGTAATCAGCCAAGCAGAAGTCCTCAAATATGAAAGTTTGAAAAAATGAAAAATACTCTCCTAGAATTGTAAAGTGCATGAGGAGGTTTTGAAGCGGGCCCGCCCCCCGCCTTTTTAATTCGCACGGGTTCCGCAGATTGAAGTCGCGAGATGAGCCGATTTTTTGACACAAGCTTTCCAGCAGCTGGGGCTAGTGGGTTGGTGCCAAATTTTTCCGGGTGAAAGACTTTGACAGGTACATTACTTTGCCTCCACAGGCCTCTGCATTGGCCTGTCACGTTCACAAGCCTCCACGGTTCACTGAGTGGAAGATGAATGCGACGCTCGCAATCGAAGAAGGGATTGTCTAATAGTATACGCTCGATGCTTACAAGGCCTTTCCGGAGTTTGAAGCATGAACAGCAACTTCCATGAAGATAAATCTCTAGCTGAGGAACGATTCTGTCACGATTGTCCCAATGCACGCGTTGCTCCTCATGCAGGCTGTCAGAGGCTGGCCACGTACCTTTAGGACGGAAGCTTGCTCGTTGGGCAGGTGCGAATGATGGCATGCGTTTATCGTTTTTTCGGTCGTGGGCCTCAGCGTTACAGTAAACTGCAAAAGGGTGAATTAGGCATTTTAATTGTTTCGTCCTCTCATTGCCCTGACATCTAACCTAGCACCTGAAAAATCATTCTTGAACCTACTGCCCCTTATTGCGCTATCCCAACGTTTGCCTTCGAGGATAACGTAGTGCTTCCATTCTGTTCCTGTACTAGGAGCAACAAGGAAAGAGCCTCCGCAGAACAGTTCTCAAACTCTGTAAATTCGAGGAGAACATGTGATGCCGTCTGTCGCAAGTTACCGGCTCTACCTGAAACCGAGCCTTGGTTACTCTTTGCGTAGCAGTCTAAAGATTCCAAGTCTCTTCAAATATCCTACCCAGAATAATAGAATATGTCCCAGATCATCACTACTTCAAGTTCTCAGACCAAAGAGCGTTTACAAGTCTTGTTCAATTGATGTCCCTAATGCTTTATGCAGTTGTGATGAAATATCCTACATGATTTTTTGTTCTCTCCTGAATCAGAACTAGCAAGAATTACCTAGCACACCCAGTGTCCCATTCTTTCTTAGATTTAACAGGGACTTTATGGTGCGGCAAAACTGCTGAGTAATGCGACCTCTATTTTCAGATCAGTTTGGTTCAACTACTCCCTCTTTACCCCTAGATTTGAGCAAGCTTGCTGATCTCATCTTACCCAGGGAATCGCAGGTCGAAGTGACCGTTTGTAATGAGATGTAGCGCTTGGACGTGGATTCGGACGCTGGTCTCAAATCTGCCTTCGATATTTGCAGAGCGATTCTTTGAACGGAGTTATGGCTTTTTCCACCGCGTTTACCACGCAACAGGTCGTGGGATCGGATCCCTGCTGAGCTTAACTTTTTTGCTTCTTGTGCAAACGTGGCAAAAAGTGGTTGTAGCGTCATTGCTACATTACAAGCGCTCTCCCAACCTTCTGAAGAATAGTTTGCGTTCGCTACTGGCGCGCTTGATCTAAGAGAGTTTTGGATTTACAGGTGCCCTTGGCGCACAGTGCAGGCGTTTTCGCGCTGAGCGAGTGCCATATTCCATGTTCGTGTTTACCGGGACGAACTACGCCTAGGTAGAGGTTTCTAGCCAAATCTGACATTTTGACCTGACTACGAAAACTGAAGCATCCAGCATCCAAGACAAGTTCTTGATGTTCACATCTATTGCAGCTTGCAGATACTTCGATACACGCAAGCCTCGTCTTGTCACTTCTTATGCATTCATTTTGTTACTGCTCCAGTTTTCCTGATATTTCAAAGCAAGTTCCGTCCGAAGACAAGCAACGACAAGAGACTGGCCCTAGAACTATTTGTGACCATCATTCGATCAACTGCTACCACACTTTACAAAGTTAGATCAAAACCTCACATCTGGCTAGAAACCTGTCCCCAAGGGTAGTTTTGCTCTCTGAACACGAATATGACACCCGCGCGTGGCTTTGAATGTGTTCTAGAGTGAAAACGATCATTCCGAGCGAACTGGCAAGAACAAGTCCTCTTCCAGAAATTCGAACCGTTCATGGTCATGGCCCGCGAAGCAAGACCATTCCACTACACCATGACTCGCTTACGTAAGGGCTTGCCTCGGATATTCAATGCGAAATGGCTGGCAACCGCGCTCGACTCCGTTTCTCTCTTCAATTTTAATAAACCTTCATAATTCCTTTCAGAGAATCGTTCTGCAAATTCCAAAGGCAGATTTGAAATCAGCGTTAAAAAACACGTCCCGTGACAACATCTCTTTACCAGAATGCCATCTTCAACCTAAGCACCATTTCTTAGTTAGCTCTCAATACTTTCGTCAAATTTTTCTCTTAAATCTGTGTAACATTACAAGAAATGAATAAGTTTCTAACCATACAAGGATTGAGCGGCTCCAGTATAGTGGGCGGCTACGTTGTAAGGTAATCATTAGGTACCCACCGCGGACCTCAATATGCTAACCTGCGACATCAGCGTTCATGCATTAGTTCATAGGAGGTTTATCTCGATCGACTTCAGTTTCCGAACTATAGCCGGAGGACAACTAGCAAAGCACCTTCTAATTAGAAAGTTAGGGACTGGCCGTGGAACTCACCGATCGGCAGAAGAAGAACCCTCGTTTTACTCTCAGGATTCCTCCAGTTGAATGCGTAATAGGCATTCTGTTCATCCTTTCCTTTATTTATCTGGTCGATTAGAGATCTATTTCAGGGTTTCAGAGCTATCTGGGATTGGCGGAACAATTAGAATAAGGGCTAAGCATAGGGCGACAAGCACGGGTTCGTCAGACGATTCCAGCAGCTATCGTCACATGCCATTGACGATAAGCAAAAGCTCATCGAAGTATCGCGAGAGTAGCAAGATGGATATGTCTTCACCGTTCATCCGGCTTGAAGAAAACCCTCTATCCGGTGAGCAACAGAAGCGGTTAGCAAAGCCTAGCAACCACAAACTATTCCAACTTAGTACATCGGACGCCTTCTGAGCTGTTATCAACAATACGCACAGATGGAATGTCACATTTTTATAACAGGGAGATCGTTACCAAAGTAGAGAGGCTGAAAAAGCACACCATCCTGCCCAAACCTTCAACGCCACTCTCGAAAAACGTTACTCGTTAACTGGAATGCTAGGATTCTTTGCTGATGACACGTTCTGAATGACAATGCCAATATTCAGCCAGTAGAGCTTAATGGTTTCTGGTTTCGCCGTGTGTTTGGAAAAACTAATCTAAAAGGCGTTGGTCATGAAGAACTGAACTGACTGATCACTGATGCACCATTCTCGCTCAACGAAACAAACATCTTGGAACGCTCCAGCGTACCTGGGTCGGAAAATCAATGTGATTAATGACCTAGCACCAGAGCTGAGGCGGAGGGAGCGGGTGGCTTGGGAGCGACACTAAACATTCGAGAGGGTAGCGAACCAACAGTAAAAGCAAGCGTGGCTTCATGCACCACCTGTTTGATTCTGCAAGTGATGAAGGAGATCTGAAACCTCGCACTCTGAAATTGAAGGGACGCCACTGACATTTGTCCAAGGTTCCAAAGACCGGGTGGGTCGGGTACGTCATGCATGTCATAGATTACTATGAGACCACGGTGGATGCCTCTTTAGGCGCTGTTTGTCGACGGGGGGCATTTTGTACTACCATTGCTTCCCTAGTTCCGGTTTACAAATCTCACCCTGGTAAAACTTGTGAACCCTTGTGAAGCTGGTGCAAGATCGTCTAGCCACCATCATAAAACGTGTCAACTCGAGAAAAGGCTACCTAGATGGGTCGGCACATCTATGGAAAGCAGAATGCCCCCTCGTCGACAAACTGCGCCCAAGCCTTTGTATTCTACGAATATCAACGAAAAGCTTGACGACCGCTTAACTCGATTGATCAGACTATTTAATGGAAGCTTTGAATCGAATGGTATTCCTGTCGCTCTCAAACCAGAGAGCCCACTGGCATGTATGGGGCGTTGGCAGGGACGGTGCAAAGATTTTCTGGGGCGCCGCTTTAAATGCAATGCCCAGCGGAAGAGCAGGAGATAGAAGCAGAAGAAGAAGGTGATCCAGGAAGGTGACACTTTATCCTCAGCAGGCGGTATCCTATAAGTTTACTTGAAATGGGACTCTGGAATCTGCCTGAAGGAATCTTTATCCTGATACGTATTCGGCAAGATCTTATCCTGTACGTATTGGCATCCTGATTGTTCAGTATCTCTTTTTGCTACACCTATGTTGACGTGTGGTATGACGTGTCTCCAGTTGGAATTTTCATTTTCTTCGAAATCACCCCTATACTGCCGTCGGAAGCCCTTGTACTCGGTTTTCCCTGAACATATTAAAGAGTTGCTATTGTTATGCAAATGACAAGAACTCATGTACAGTCGTCATCCGGACACTTGATTAGGCGGCCAAAGGGTTGCGACGCGGCTGCGGCGCGTCACGACCGCGGCGATCAGCTGTTTCCAGCCTGGTTTAGCCATTTTCTCCCTAATTTTCACTGTTTTTGGCTGCTTTTCTTGAGGTTAGTTGTTCCTTGTCTTCACAAGGTAAATTATGATTGAGATTTCTCTAATTTTGCGAACAATTAAACAATTAAACAAACAATTGAACAAATACCTGGAAAAAATCGCAAAAACACTTCATTACCAGAACAAAAAAAGAACCCCCGTCCTTACACACTTTATAAAGGCAATAAGACAACTTGCTTTGAAAAAAATAGAAAATACAGTGAAAATTAGGGAGAAAATGGCTAAACCAGGCTGGAAACAGTGATCGCCGCGGTCGTGACGAGCCGCAGCCGCGTCGCGACCCTTTGGCCGTCCAATCAACTGCCCCGATTACGATTGTAAGGACCTCAAAGTCTCGATGGTGTAGGCTTGCCTGCGTACTCCAACTACACGTAGCGGTGGCTGTGGTTTCAGCAATATTTTCATTTTGGGACATTGGAATCATGTCCCTGTCCAACAGTGAACAAGATAACATTGCCTCAGACTGATTTATCCCACGAGTAACCCATTCCATGCCACGTTCAATTGTCACGCCTCCTCCGTCTCAGGGATAACGGGTATAGCTAAAAGTTACAGAGCTTGTTGTAATTTTCAGTACCACACTATTCAAGAAATCCTGCAATATTTTATTTTTTTCAGATGCCTCTGTCAGAAGGCATTTCGTTCACGTCGAATCGGCACCGAAGGCCAAGTGATCTCGCGACTTCTCACTGACTACGATCCAGCCACTCGCCCACCCGTCCGAGGTTGTCATCCAGCACTAGAATTCATTGTCTGCTTCAGAGGGAGTAAGGCTTCCAGACAGCAATCCCCATATCTGTTTAACATCTAACTTCCTGCTTTGGCATGCTTTACACTAGTGCAGATATGTGCATCGTCTGGGGGAGACGGGCAAGAGAATCGTAATTTGCCGCTCCGCCGCGCGCGGCGTAGGCGCGGCGTTTTCTTAACTCGTGTTAACCTGTCGATTGGAGCACCGGACTTCATGTAGACCCCGTCATTGTAGACATTCATATTTTCGGCTCTGAATTGCCTGTTGTAGCCATTTTGCGGGCGCGACGTCGCACGCGACTGCCATCAGCGCGGTGAATTACGATTCCCTTGTCCACACACACCCATCGTCTGGGTGTTTATAGAGATCAAACCTCGATATCCAACCTAGACATATAGCCTTTAATGCCCACTGTTCTAGCTGGTCTGCTCTCTCATGTGATTTTCCTTTCTGAATATGACAGAATTTTCATTGCAGATAATGCTGATCACTCTTCTATTCTGGTGATTACCAATATCTTCATCAATCGAGTCAACTGGCATGACAACCGAGCGGTGAGGAGAAAAATGAACATTTCTGATTTTCTTCAAACTTTATTAGAAAACGAACGTGCGAAATCTCATTTATTCGGATATCGGCTTTTTCCCGATGCATGTAAAAATAGCTCCTGTTCATGGCTCTGGAGTGTAATCTGCCGGTGTTCGTCCGATTAATTCAAAATCGATTGTAGGTGTTTACGACGGGAGGAAGTATTTGATAGAACCATATGAGAAGGCGTCTTTTCTTGAGCTTTTGTGAGAGTGAGAACCGTCTTTAAATGTGTTCAAGGTTAAATGGTAGATAATTTACACTCCTTATCCCTGAGCCAGAGTAGGCGTGGCATTTGAACATGGCACGGAACTGGTTACTCGTGGAATATTCCAGTCTGGGACAACTGTCATCTTGTTCTGTGTTGGACAGAGACACGACAACAGTTGTGTCAAGATGGAAATATTCCACCAGAAGCATAGACACCTTCAGGTTAAGTTGAAGAATGCAGCCCCGCCTACCCGATCTCAGGGATCTCGAGTATACGGCCAAACAAGGCAGATTCCTCAGTTTCCTATATTTCTAGATTTTTGTCGACTTTTATTTAATTGAAACAGAGTGTCAGGTTGACACAAATGAAGGTTTTTGTCATCGCCTCTTGGCACATAGGCTCTCAAATTGCAGAAGCATCTCAAACCCTCATTTCTCGTGACTTCTTTGATCAGGGAACGACACATCCGAGGATGGCTTGAAAATGGTAAAAGCGATTGGAAGTGTTCCGACCTTGTAAGTATGTATCGCCCGGCTTGCTCTCTTGGGGGGTGGCTGCCTGCAGAACTCATCCACCAAATGCTGGGCCTCTTTCTCCAGAAGGTGATTATCAATGGGAGTGGAAAACATCCATGGCATCTACCGTTTGCCCAATCTATGGCATAGACCTCCGGCATCTTATGGCATTGGCTTCTCCGTGAGTGAGCTGACTCAAGAAGCTTTTCTTTTTTTAGCGCAAAATTTCAAGTGAGGAAAAAACGCCAGTTGGACTCAATAGGTCATCAGATGCGCACTTTGACCGTTCTCCTTTTTTGAGAGACACAGCCGCTTGCCCTTAGGCTTCTGCAGAAAGGAGAGGCTGTCGAAAAGGTGTAATTTTGTTTTCCTGACTTTCCAAGTTGAGCCCTTAAAAATCAATGGAGATGGCATCTTCGAGAAATTAAGCCCAATTCTTGATAGAACAAAAAATTCTCTGTAAAATAGTGCAGATCTCAATGGTCAAACGTCCTTTTTTAGCACAAAATTTCAAGTGGGAAAAAATGCCTTTATCTACAGGCCAACCAACACTGTTATCTGCTCAGTTCACTGTTATCTGTTCAGGAGGTTGATCTGTACTTGCGGCAACAGTGGGAGGATGGACGATTGCAGTACGAAGTTGATCCGCGGGAGGATATCGATCAGGTGTGATACTATTTTTTGCTTACTGGATAATTTATAGAATTTAAAAGTCTTCCCTCGCGATCTTTTCGCCATTTTTCGAACTATAATTCAGAATTTTTTCGTCTTTCACTTCTCTCGCTTCTTGTCTTTGTCGTATTCTCAAAGCGTAGGAGGGGGATATGTTCGAAGGTTTAACAGCAAAAAGGCCTCGGTGCAGTAAAGGGATCGCACAGTCGCCGCGTTCGCGGCGCCATATAGTATCATGTGGTTTCTCACCTGCCTCCTATACCTCTTTGTGGGTGGCTTTTTGGAAGAGAATATCTCGAGGGGATGGGCTTTCGGAGGGCTATTTGTGGAAACTAGAATCCACGCAGCAGGGGAATTCCCAATTAGGGTGATGGAACCTCGGTGAGTAGTTACTGAACTCGTCCTGGATGATAAAATCACGCAGTTCACATCGCCTGCCCTTCGCAATTCACTGTATGGGCCAAATGTGGAAAGCCACTGCGATACTGAGCATAAGTAGTAAGCGTGGCGTATCCCGAAAGGCTTCAATTTCATCAGCGCTGGGGGGAGAGGTTAATCTTTGGTCTGTTTGCGTCGTTTTTCATTTGCTTATCACCGATTTATCGGAGGTCGGTGATTACCCTGACAGTTGGTCATTCCACGCACAAGGAAGCCAGCAGGTGATTACTCATTGTCTGGATTGAGAAAGAAGCGGTAGACCGCTAGGTGAATGCGCTGAATAGAATAGGAGTGCTGCAGTTTGTAGCAGTTCTTTTCTGGAAACTTCGTAGGAAGGTTGGGAAAAGGAAGGCGGCTGGAAAAACTCAAGTATACGGTAGGTAGGACAGGGAAGGAGATGCGCCGGGGAAGAAACTTGGGAGGTAGGAGGGGGGTGTGCGTTGGAGTTCTGTGTGGGCTGATTCGCGATGAGCACAGTAAGCAACTCTTTTACACCGCTCGTGAATTCACTTCATACTTCAATTACTGCAATTTGATTGCTTGGGGAGCGGAGGCGATGAGGTGACAACTGACGCATCTTGTCACAGCTTGTCAGCTCAGGGATCAGATCTTGGATGGTATTCCTTCTTGGTCAAGAACGTCTTCTAAGCAGACCAATTGATACCAGACTTCTTCAAGGGCAAAAAAAATTGCTATCCAACTGTTGTACACCAGGGCGTTGAAAGTCGTTGAGTGGGGTCGCATTCCAAAAATAAACGACGACACTGACTTGAAATGGAATGCAGGAAGCGGCTCAGGAAATCATTGAATGATGCCATGCTTGACATTATTCGTTTTTGAAGCTGTTTTATTAGGTTGTCCGGAAAGTTCTCAGCGTTTTGAGTGTTTCACTTTAAACGATCATAACTTTCTTAATACTCATCGGATTTAATCGAAATAGGCACCATTCGAATCAGCACACTTTTGCCAATGTGACACCAGTCGATAAATCCCATCAAAGAAAAACTGGGTGGTCGAGAATCCACGAAGGCTTTTTTGCCTGGTCCTGATTGATGAAGTATTTTCCAGCAAGGAAGTTCTGAAAATGTTTGAAAAGGTGATAGTCGGTTGGTGAAAGGTCTGGAGAATATGGCGGGTGAGGTAGAACTTCAACCCCCAATTCGTTCAATTTATGGATAGTGATTTGTGAAACGTGTGGGCGGGCGTTGTCATGCAAAAGAATCTTTCTGTTGACAAGTGCTGGCTGCAGCTGACGCAATTTTCGGTACATTTCGTCGATTTCTTCACAGTAGGACTCTGCTGTGATGGTTTGGCCTGGTGACAAAAAGTTATAGTGGATCACACCAGCCGATGACCACCACACTGTGACCATAACCTTTTTTGGTGAAGATTCGGCTTTGGAAATTGCCTCGGTGGTTCGTCGGCATCCAACCACTGTCCGTAACGTCTCCTGTTATCATACATGATCCACTTTTCATCACAGGTGACAATTCGGTCCAAAAACGGGTCGTTTCTGTTGCGCAAAAGCAGTGAAGAGGAAACCTCGAGACGTGCCAATTTCTGCCGGTCACTCACTTGTGGGGCCCACTTATCGAGTTTTTTCACCTTCCCAATGCGTTTCAGACCATCTGCAACAGTGGATTTGCCAAGGCCTAGCTCTTCTGCTATCTCTCGAACTGTTTGGGATGGGTCAGCCTCCAAAATCCCCTAAAATCCTCGTCAGATATTGCTTTAGGTCGACCGCTATGAGGTTCATCTTCAAGGCTGAAATCTCCAGAACGAAATTTGTTGAGCCATTGCCGCACAGTGCTTTCTCTAGCATTGGGCCCACCTGGTTAATTTGTTGAGCTGTTTCGATTGCGGATTGCCCCAATTTATAGTCGAAGAAAAAATCGTCCGAAGTGCTCTTTTCACATGCTTGAAAAAATCTTGAAAAAGGGGGTTTATCAAGCAATGGTGAAACGGCAGTTATACCATCAGATAGCGCAAAGAATTCTCTTCAGGATGTACTACTGAGACGCAAGGGAGAATGAGTTTTAATCAGCAATGAATGTACAAAAAATAGTAACACAAAACGCTGAGAACTTTCCGGAACCTAATAGCACGATAACCGCTGTTTTACGCTGCAGTTTCGCGTTCCGAAAGTTATCACAAGAATGCTAAATGGGCAAAAGTCGAACCTCGGGTTAGAACATCAGGTTACACCCTCTCACTCTTTCCGTGATAGTCCGCTATCCGAACTTACGCCACCAGAGTCATCGATTCGGCTGACCGGCTCACCAAGTTAAACGTGTGAGTGCTACGGCATAAAAGCCGTTAAGCTGAGAGGGTAAAAGCGGCCCTGGTGGCGTAACGGATAGCGCACTGGACTCCCGCCTGGGGTTCGACTTTTGCCCATAACCCAGCATTCTTGTGATAACTATTCGTTTTTTTGGCCTGCAGGAGTTCAATCCTCTTCCGCTCCCTTGAAATTAAAAGTATGCGTGATCAGCTTTGACTGGTCCTTCTCGAATGCACGGCGCACTACTTCACGAATTGTCGGAGCACTTCAAGCAAGCAGTTCATCACCACTTCTGTAGCGCCTATTTTGAATGGATTCGATAAACAAACTTGATCTGTGGCAGCACATGTTATGTTCGGATTCTTTAAATTATAGCGAGATGGGGCTCTATGAACAACATCTTCAAAGCTCCAAAATGGAAGAGGTTTGTGATGTACATAGTGATGTGACGGGATGAGTGACGGGATGAGTTTGGCGCCGTGCCAAACCCGTTCTCCATCAGTTGTTAAAGCGATCAAATGATATGGATAATCGTTCGCACTAATCGTTTTATACTAGTGGTTGTCGTACGCGTCTTTCAACAAGAAGACAGAGAACGTCGACGGCATGTACACTCATACTGCCTGACAGGTCCAACTGTCCGCAGCGAACTAAAGTTTAAGTTTCATGATCCTCCTCTGAGGATGCAACGGCTAGAAGCGAACGTTTCCGTGATGAGCTTCAGCGACTCTCAAGCGCAATTTCACCCAGAGAAACGGTTCTCGATTCTCTGGGTGACATTGAAAACCTATGGAAATGGAAAAATGGTGTGGGAGGGTTAGTGTAGTGCGCATTTGGAATCATTATGCCTGTATTGTTGTATGGGGGCGCCAAGGGGCTAATGGTAAGTTGGGCGCCAAGGGGCTAATTGGTAAGCGGGAGAGGTTGAAGTCTCTGATTAATTTTAACTTCGTGAACAGTAACTTCTCATTCGTTTTTTCATTCGTGAGTCGTTCCTTAAACCCCCTATTGCATCTGTCCTCCACTCACGGGTCCTTCGGCAACTTCTGTTCCACATTACAACAACAATACTTCGGGCCGTGAACTAGTAAACCACCCAAAAGAAGTATGACGCTGGCTCTATTTGGTCGCATTCCCCTAAGAGAGGTTATGATAGAACTTTCTGGAAGGTGCGAGTAACGTGAGCGGGAAAGTTTCACTTGTTTTTTTGACCTTTTCAAGCGCTAACGAGGGTACAGTCTTGGAGTGCATTGCTTGCAATGAGAACTAGTTGAATTGGTGCGACAAAACGCCTGCAGAGCCCTTCTTATGCATTTTCCGGAGCATTGAAGGTGTAATAATCTTAGCACATATTATGTGCGAGCTGTGAATTTTTCGGAAGAATCGATCACAAAATTTGTCGTGATCATGGCTTTTAGCCCGTTCCCAGGGTAAACTTGTCATGAATCGTGGCATAGTGTAAGGCTGTTATTCCTATTCTCCGCTCATTCGTGTCTATCTAGTCTCAAATTTCAGGTTGTAATCCCAAATAACCGAAAAATATGGATGCCAGACACCTACTTTTCTACGGCAAACGAAGTGAAAAGTAGTACTCGACACAGGGCTGTTGTCGAGCCGTCAGGATTTGTTCGCGCATCAGAGCAGTGAGTTTTCAAATACAATGTCTTTTACATAGGAAAGACATGTGCTTAACTGTGAAAGTGCTATTAACAACTCAGATATCAGCAGGACATTAAATTCACAGCCTACGACCAC